TATATAATGTCCAAATAAACCGTATATTCTGTGTTGCGGAAGTTGATACGTCTATTTTAGTACTGGTCACTGAACTCATAATCATTGTGTGCAATATATGTATTATGTGCGCGATAATATATATATAACCGTTATTCAGTAATGTTCAGTGTCACCATAGAAGTATTTAGTTAATTTGATTCAAAAATTATTAACAGGTTACAGAAACGAGCCTTTGCGAAACTACAGCGACTTTTAAAGAGGCTTTCGTGAAAAAAGTGCAACGTGATTACCGCTGACATAAATATTGAAATAGCTTACTCTTTAATAGTTTTATATTATTTAATGTAAGTAGAGAACAAGACATTCGATGTCCTTTAATTCGCAGTTTTGCCCGTACACTAACCCATTAGATAGACCCAGTGTGGGGCAACCCACTTGGCCGTAGAACTATCTAAAGTATTCGCTTGATAACTCTTCGTTGGTCGTAAGCATTCGCGTTTCGTTTTTTCAAAGGGGGTCAAAGATAAGAAGAGGTGCCCGCTCAAGTGATAGCGCTCTCCGACCAAACATGCGATCAATACATACAGTACCCATAGAAATGGACTATGTTAACCTAAAAATATTGAGGCTATCATCGCTCTGGTTACGTCATGGAGCAAGAAAATGGCGTGACGCAGTCAACCGTAGACCAAAAACTACAAGAAACAGGTTTTAATCTTCATGAATATATATGTATGCTAGCTATGCGTGATTTGGGGTTGTTAGACAAATTAAATCTTTGCGATAGTTAATCAATGTGCCTGCCTTAGAATGAATTGAATGGCTTTCACCGACTAAAAATAATAACGCACTTTTATTATGTCTTTTTTTTTTCTAATAAAAGGTATTACGAGTGTCGAATAGGATGCATTATGGAGCACAGAACAGCGGCGTGAGTTTATTTCCGTGGACATAAGTGAAACATATATAAGGCTATTTAGTCAAATATGTTTAAAAGCATAAGCTCTTTATCGAAGCGGAGTGCACTGAATTACTTCTCGAGTACCGAAACGCATATGAGTTAGAGACTAGAATATATTTCTCCACCTAATTTAAGATTAACTTTGTAAATCGCTTATAAGTAGTCCACCCTTGGCAATACGGCATTCTATTGAAAAGTGAAAGTAACTTTATCTAACTTTGGGTTAGCAACAGCAAACTTTAGACTCCACTTTACAGTCCATGTGATTAAACGTTCGTTCCTTAAAAAGATCTTTCCAATTAGCTAATTGAACCATGTTTCAATATCGTGTTGTGATGTTTCATCCAATAAAATATTAAACGCATAGATTGTGTTTTTATCTTAGCTAAATGAAAACTCAGTGGTTTGCAGTCGCTATCGCATGCTTTAAATTCAGCACTTTGGCATAGTGGGTGACCCTAATACGATTAATGTATCATTTTTAGGCATTGTACCAGTGATAGCTTTTGCTGTTCTTGGTGCAGGCGAGTCGCTCTCCGGCCTATTACTGAACACTGATTAAAATCAGGAAGAAAAAAAAAACGAAGTGCACAATATAGCTTTAAATATAGTACCAAAATGCTATGATAAAAAAGATACGTGTGCAGTAATCATTCACTATTCCTTTTGTTAGCATTTACTCATAAACATAGTTTGAAAAAAGTATCAGACATAGCACGGCATTTTTGAACGCTCATCCTTTCTTTAAAGTAAGTGTATTGTTCGGCGGAATTTTCAGGTAAACAACACCCGAAACGCAGCGTAAATTTTTAAGGCTTAATAATAATGAAGAAAAAAACTTTGAAACGTTAAAAAAATCCACGCCAAGAAATGCTAGTTCACACCAAGTTCATAATGGGCTTACATACTAACCAACATTATGTTAATCTAGAGGTTTCATTCTACATGCAGAATTAGATCACTTTCGTCACTCTGCAATATTAGCATATGTGTTTACTAGATTTGTTGCAATTATCTAAAAATAATTTCTACAAGCTTATGGCTTCACTTTCATACTACGTTTTAGACGCATCCGATATGCACGCCGACGCTTCATATCAACATTCCTACGTAGACTAGCTCATTATTGACGGTTGATTCATAGGCTTACCTAGCTAGCTATGCATGGTGGCTAAATGCAGCTAGTTACACATGGCAAAGATTAGATGTCTGCCTTTGTTAGGTTCCCCAAAGTGGCAACGTACGATTAAGGTGCACGACAATGCACGTCAACTTAGTTTCTATAAGATCATTGCCAACTCAGCAAGCGGAGCTTAGCAAACGGGGCGACGGCAAGCGCACATGCTGAAGTGTCGGGGATTCGCTTGTGAAGGTTTCAAGGGCCAAGTGCTCATCCCCGAGCTCGATCATGCTCGACAAATAAGTTTTGAAAATATTTAAAATAAGACGATTGTGTTTGCAATTGCATTTAGACTTGTTCTCTAACGTATACTGTCCCTTAAACAACGGCGCGTATTGTGTCTCGCGCGCGTAAACAACTCCAACTAACATCCGTTAAGCACGAGAAAAATCGTTGTGTGCGAAGTCGTCCTGGAAAAGTCCACAAATTGGTGTGTATTAATGTACTTGAGCACTGGTGTTTCTATTCGAGTACCCCATTAATTGGGTTACTATATATGTTGAAAATATGCGTAAGGAACTGTGGACGCCCTGACAATGTAGCGTTTTCTTTACGCGTATGCCTAACACAATCTAATCTTATGCGTGCAATGAATCTGAATGATGACACGTGCTCGTGTCCCTGTTATAAGTTTCAGATACCTTCAATAATCTCCCCTATGTTGTGACTCAACGAAAGAAAGCTTGAGATCGCACCTTATTGAAAACAGAATTGTTGTTTACTATCGCCTTCACGTTATTTACCGTACAGAAGTCCATCGATTGGCCTTGATATTCGGCCATAGAGAGGTGCGTCACTCTGTGGTGAACGGTCGGCTGAGGAACAACAACGAGAACGAGCTATAAGCTCCACTCACCAGTTGAATCAAAAGAGTCAATAATTTTATTAAACAGACGACCAATTGCATAGTTCCTACGTATCACATATTCGCACATTTCGTATCGTTCTGCATACATTATTCTGACCCTATTTAAGGAAAACAAATGGGTCATAAAGTTGTACTGTCAACGTTCAACACTTGTGCTTGGCTAGTATCATTTAGAATTTTATGACGATTGGCAAAGATGCATGAAACGTTTGCTACTTATACGGATCTTTTTTCAGCGGTCGGTACCAGCGATCGACTCGACTTAAACTTACATGTGTAAAAGCTCGTTGCAACCTATTTATCTTGAGTTTTTTGATTCAGCCTAAGTTAGAAAGATAGAGTTGTTAAGCGCGGTATCTTGAACGCGACCATGACATGGTCACGTGTATTTATCTTTCTACATGCCTGACACAGCTATAATGTTTTGGAAAATGTTGCGGATAACACGTAATGGCTTGTACTAAGGCAAAAGAACTAAAACGGTATTGATGCTTTATGTATTTTTATGTCATCGACTTTAATGTTATGATTACTATCGTCGTTACCGTTCCTTTAGGGAGAGATGTCGCTGAAACCTCGCTTATTCACCAAAGACGCGCGGAGAGCTTCGCAAAATCTTGCGGCGAATCTGCACTTCGCTGTCAGCAAAGTTTGTCGGAGCGGTCCTGTCAGGTAAATTTAGGCAGGATATTTTTTGCAAAACAAAAACAATCTTCAGCTGTAACATAGGAGAAATAGGGTTGAAGCAAGGCGAACTGCTACGGTGACCGATATGATTCGCCTTCCTCATATTGATGGTAACAACCAGTTTAAAAAATAGACTAGTAATATTCTGATCCTTCATCAATCGAATGTTACCTAACAAACGCCAACGTCTAATTTGTCAATTTTTAGTTCACAATATAATTGATTGGACTCGCCACCGCCCGATCTATATGATATCTATGTACTTTTAATCTAACATTACTGTTTAATTATGAGCGCGACTCTCGAAAGGCGGTGTGAAGCGCTCGCGTCCATTGCTTCAATTGTCAGTAACAGAAAGAAAAAATGGAACCAATAGACAGCAGTTGTTAGGCTAGCAATAGCAAGAATATGCCACGATCTCTTTTCGCCTCTGTTTCTATTCATACGATTCTCGCTGTTCAACGCCGCTTTGCCTGAACCAGTGGGCGAGCAGCGCCTTTGCAGACAAACAGACTCCTCTCACAAATTGTATCGCTGGGAGCTGGAAAGTAAGAGGCGGACTTGGATGGCGGACCGTCAATATTCCAATGCCGAGCCACTCGTAACGATTCGATAGTGGGCAACTCAAGTTGCATGGAAGCTAATTACCATCACAATGTGTACATAGAGAAATATCGAAAAACACTAAGTTTAAACGTTCCTTCTGACAGTTCCCCGTGCGAGCTCCTTTCCTTCCATCGTCAGTGCACTTTTGGTGAATTTAGCCATGAATTTGGTTAGTAAGCAACTTTTACTCTAGCAGTTACTTCGTTAGTTAGAGCTAAACACGCCCGTACATGTTACGGTAGGGCAGACAGGAAGAGTGCGAAGTCGATGAGTTAGAAGAGCAATGACAGATGGACGTGTATCCAACGAGAGAAATATAGAGGTCAGACAGAGAACGATACAGTATATTTGTAACGGTGAAAGTGAATAAGATACGTTGCGAGCCGTTTGCGAAAAAGTCAAGCGTGTTTTCAATTAGGAACAGGTTTTTTTTTGTAGTGAACAATTAGTTACCATTGCGGCAGTGATTAACCACTATACACGTTCTTGCATTTCAGGCTGACTGCACTGAAGGTCGACTATGACCGGTTTTTCAAGGATAAAATTGCCACAAAAAGTGCAGAAGCTATTGCGACAGCTCTGAAAGCCATCGAAAAGCACGTCATCGTTGTTAAAGTGAGTACCGTATAGTTAGATACCAGCCTCGTAAAGGGTGTGAAAAAAAAAATGGCTGAAGACATTGAGAAGTTACCGTGCCTGCTAGCGGCTATTTTATCCTCAAATAACCCGCAAATCAAAAAAATTGAGAACCTATAGCCATTCATATTTCTCTAGAAATGCACGCAGAAAGCGCCCAGTAGAAATTTGCCCTCGATTAAACGAAATCGTAACTATGTTGAATTTTAGTTAGCAAATACATTGTGAACATTGCGAATAATGTAATCACGAAACGGTAATAGATAGAGCGAGCCGTAGTAGATAACTGGTATTACAAATGAAAACTTTGCAGCACGACTATGGGCGTGTCAGCGGCAATTATCGTAATCTAGTAGCGATGTTATATTGACCTCTTTTGGCCTTTTTTTTTTTTTGATACTTCTATACTCTATGTTCAGGCCAACATACAGCGTTAGTTGGTAAATACATCCAACGGAACACTCAGCTTGCTCCAGCGTTACTGGCTCTATCCTTACTCTAGAGGTCCTCTCATTGAACCCCAAAGCCTGTAGCGATGCAACGTTCAGATACTCAACAAAAATCGATACTTAACACTGACTGATATTATCTAAGTAGTCAAGCAACTGTTGCAGCTATTGATAAGAGGTGTTCGCAAGTTGCTCCCACAGGTTGACAACGGCTTGATGGTGTGAAAGTTACACTTAATTACCGAGAAGTGGCGATCTGTTCTACTTATTTATTCTAAAGTACAATAATAATTTATAGCTGACCAGAGTTGGAAATCTTCATGTAGAATTCGTTCGCGTCGCACTACAAACCATTCTCCTTCTGTATTACGTGACAGCATATTTCGAAATTATGATGAAGGGCACGACAGTTCACGATTGGCATGGTGTGTAGTAGTTTGAAATAGTGCCGCACTGTCTGTTCGTATTCGATCATTAGCTATATAATTATTGTAAGGATTTAAAACGTACGTGTTCAATGCAGTTTCTCCAAAGATTGGTAGGAGTCGTGGCTTTATTAGCCATTAGGTAAATGTGCAACGTCACTATTGCGGTCGGCCAGTGTTGACATGTCATATCAGCTGTTGACCCGCAACATAACGTAATCAAAGCTCTCGAATCGGGTCGATTATTTAGCTTTGTTCCGCATCACTTGAATATTGTAACTGGCTGCTCGATAGCTTACCATTAACTCACTCTCTCTCTCGAAGCATAAACTACGCCCCTTGACGCATACACGTTTCTTCACGTGAGAATCTATCAACACGGTAAACATTCGAACGGTTCAGTACTATAGCAGATACTTGACGATGATTTGGGTCTTTGTGTGATTCGATCAGGAACGAATACATTGGTAAGTTCTCCAAAACGTTACCTTTGGCTTGACAGCGGTTTTCAAATCACTCTCACAGCATATAATATTACTTATGAGAGCTGTACGGAATTATATATGTAAAATAGTGCAATACATTTTTATTTCGGTATAATATTCACTACGTGGTTGATACCTGTTGTTTCGACGTAAACGACAAAAGCATCACCACGTGTCAATTTTTCACGTCTTCACTCTTCACATCCAGCGATAAAAAGGCCGTGACATCTAATGAAACAGAACAGCCCGTATCAAGCACTCGCCTTCAAAATCTAGCTTGCCTATTGATTGTTTTTCAAAATTTCACTTTATTTGATTATTACTGCAATAGCTAGCTGGATATAGCTGGGTGCAGTGTTTCGAGATTAAGCTACTGTATTGTAATTGGCATTCTGCCCTACTTGTTATCTAAGAGCGCCAAAAAACTATGTTCTGTGGTGCCATGTTACTGCTGCCTTTATTAAGTCACGTGGAGTGGTGCATCTACAGTGGCGTTCGAGCTCACGTAGCCAAATACGAACAACGTATTATATTCGAACTATGATTTGTATCGGCTGCCATTAGAGATTCTGTAGTGCTATGGGGCATTATGTTGCGTCTGCCCTTAGCAGTAACAGTCAGCGACTCATTATGTATTGTATTCATCGATTTTACTGACAGAAATATTCACTAACAACAATGAAGCACGTAAGAGAACAAAAGCGGACATCTGAGCACACATTGAAACGCGTCCCAGTAGAGAAAAAATCGCATGGCTTAGATGAGCACACGCGCTCACATTCATAGACGCGTTGAAAGGCAGCGGAATACAACACAGCGGACCCGATGCGGCTGCTAATAGCTTGATAATTATAGAATGATAAGGTAGAAACGCCGCACCGAGTTTTACTTGTGCCCATTATACAGGAAATATTAAACGAGTCATTTAGTTATCGAACATGGTCGCTCTGCATAGGTTTGTAACCTGACAGAGGGTTCAGGTCCAATTATACAGTGAATGATTAACGTTTTAAGATGGACTGCATTCACCATAAGCCTCCAAAATAGGACGATAAGCAGACTTTTAGCATGCTAATGTGATGTAACTTCCAGCAGAACGCCATCATCGTAATGGCTACTTGGGAAAAAAACCGGTATCATTCATAGCCAAACCTCATTGATTGATTGCTATCAGCTACAGTATTCAGCGAAGGAGGAATGTATTTTTGAAGGCTGAATTTCGATGAAGCTTTGGCGAAAACCTGCAATAGGTGCGAAGTCAATATCTGTAGTCTGTGACCGTCTATTTGACATGAACGCTTATCACTAACATAAGCAACAATTCAGGCATTAAAGGAATATCTAAATAAGCAAGCTTCATGACATATGCACAGCCTAAAACTGAGCTATCACACGGACTTTGGCTTTATGCGCAAATAATATCAATTCTGACTAATTTACCAAGCAATGTCGTGAATTATCTTTGCAGGTATACACGCAGGACGGCAATCGAGAGATGACCGAGTCGTTATTGGGATTACGTTCAGCCTCGTACGCAGCTGATATGTGCAACGAGGACAGCCCACAGGTCTCGAAGCAAAGGCTTCTGCAGGTCATCCGTGGTACGTCGCTTATTCAGTCTGACTCAGATTTTCAATAAATATTAGGTTATAACCATTTGAAGCTTATGCGGTATAAAGCATTGTTACGTACAAATACAGACTCTGTTACGAACGATGAATCATAGATGTTCGCTTGGATTGTCACTCTTACACAAGTCACACCGTCAATGGTCAAAAGTCAATCAATACCATCAGTATATTCATTATAGTCAACCAATTTTTGGCTAACTTTGGGGCTCTTTTTTTAAGGTCTTGACGGATATTAATTTAATCGAAACATGTGCGACGACATAATGAATCTACACACTTTCATTTTAATTGACACTCTCGTTTTAACCAAATATCTCAACGTATATATTTTTTTAATACGTTATAACGTGGACATGCGGTAATTACGTACGGAGCAGCACATCCGCCAAAAAGAGTTCATAATTAGAACGTTTACGAGATACTTTGCGAAATGCATAGTTCCCACATGTCTACTTCGTAATGAAGTGAACATTTCAGTATTCGAGCAAACAACTATAGCTAAATTAGAAATTATCTGCTATTGTCGGGACACCATATACATAAACTAAAGAATGATTTACTAACTCAATCAGACTTACGACACTGCACCTAATGTGTGTATAAAAACGTGCACCTTTGTTTTTCAGACCAAGCGTCCAACGGCATTTATATACGAGATTTAGAGCAGCGTTATACTGCTACTTACGGCACTCGTCCATCATACCTACCCTATAAAAGTATCAAAGAATTGTTGCATAGAACTGCCGAAGTGGAGCTCGCCTCTTCCGGGAAAAACCTCCGTGTGCGTATTCGTCAGCAGACAACCACTACGGTCAGTGGTATCCCAGCCCCAACGCCAACCTCTCAAAAAAAGCAAATGTTGTCGCGCATCCCGACGTCTTTAAATAGGAGCTCGTTGTCGACAGCTTCGTCTTTTTCTGGCTCACCGACATCCCAGAAGCTGCGCAGAAGCCGTGACATCATGTCCATGAGCATGTTCCGGCCAAGCGCAAGAAGTTTCCGCGAAGAACTGCCGTGCGGTATGACCCGTAGCGTGTTTGTTCCGTCTTCGTCCAGCACGTCGTCATCGTCAGAAAATTCGTCTGCTCGCTCTAGTGATTCGGGTTCGCCCAGTGGCTCTATTGATATCAGTATGTCCATGATGGTACCGGAAAGGTCGAGCATTGCAACTTGTTCAGAGAAGGTTTATAGCCAGAGTAAACGAGACATAAGTACGGATACCAAAAATATAATGGTTGCCATACTTACCGAACTTCCACCGGAAGGCATAACGTTGAAGAATCTCATTGACGAGTTCGTGATGATAAGCGGCCAGGCTATGCCGCTAGATGCCACCGTTGTCGATTTTCTGAAGCAGGAGTTTAGCGATATAGTGAAAATTGCCGATGATCCAGAAGGACTCCGGGTGTACAAAACCAATTCTCCGTTGTTTCCCAGACGGACCCTTGCCGACGTCTATACAAGAATCGCTCTTCACTCGAACCGAAGGCCCTCCGATCGCGTTCTCAAAGTACTTAAAGATATCTACAAGAAACGCGAGCCTGAGCCAGAAGAGTCGCCCCATGTGGCCTCGACTGTGCCTATCATGCCAGCAAAGCCTATCGAACCTCCCGCGGACGAAGCGAAGAAAACCATATTAATAACATCAGATTCAGACGGGCTCGGTGAGGGTGTTCAGGCCTCAGATGAAAAGCGTACTCCGCAAGCACGTCCTTATCAACCTTCAACGACGAAAAGTGTGCGCCCCATAAGCGACGTTCTCGCTGATCTGAAACGACAAGTATCACTTAGTCCTATAGAATACCCGGGGGATTTCGAGAAGATTGTTGAAGGGACAGCAGCTGACAATCAGGACCTTTTGATGGAGGCTATGTCATCGTTAAATCTATGCCTAAAGCCGTTAGGTGGTCGTATGGTTCTCACGACTAACTAAGAAAAAGCGAAATAAACAAAAGATACACTTGCTCAATTACATTTGTTAGGAATGGGGCTCTTTGTATGAATTGCTACATTAATGTAGGCCCAATTATATTTCAATATATTCGACACTCCTGGGAGCGTAGCATTATAAAATGAATGAGCGATGTAGAAAGGCATCTACGTCTAAACCATCAGCCATTTTAATGAATGTTTTACTTTTTCTATCTGAACCGACGTGCAGATACCAACCACATCTAACTTGTTCTGATGTGATTTCATTTGACGCTATACATGGTTTATATAAATAAGCCTACTAATCAAAAATGGCAATTACGTACCACACGTAAATATACCGGAACTTTCTAACTATCTTCAAATCAATAAACATACGATACCTTATGACATAGAACGAGCGATCTGTCTGTGCAACCTTTATACGGATGTTGTTAATAGTTATCCCGTAGCGGTAACGTTCTAAGATGGCAGGCAAGTCGTTGCCGTCGGTTTCAAATTGTCTATCAATGTTGTTTTTCGTCTAAATCAATAGATCAGACAGCCTATTTCTTTTTCTCCTAGCTCTGTATAGATTGAATATGAATGTCTTTTTTTTTTCTGAGTTCATCAATATCTTTACACCTAACTGATATGTACACAAAGGGTGCAAATGATTTGGCACCAATGTCTAAGTTGTAAAGATTTAAAATGCTGTTCTTACTCGTTATTTTTGCGTTTTGAACGAAATATTTAAATTTGTGCTTGCAATGATGCTTCTGCTGTTCGTGTACGAAATCTGTGTTTTGAATGCAACCTGAGGGGTTAACGTACAGGTTCTTAAGCCCTCTACGACTTCTATTTGCTCGTGGGCATTCGAGTTACTCGAAATGAATTCACTTACAATACAATAGCACCAACCACGAAAATAAGTGAAAAACGTCCTAATTCTGCTAGGCATATTTACGTTACTGTATTTTGCTTGCAAAATTGGCATTCCTAGCCCTCCTCATGGCGGAACACAAAGAATAGAGAATAAATGCCTCGATTTGGAGGACAATCTAAACACTGCTTTCATTCTTAAGTAGCTTGTATAATAAACAAAAAAAGATCCGGTACTGTCGCACACGGGTTAGGTTATCTGCGGATAGCAAAATAAACCGATGCGATTGTCCTGCTGTCGTATATATGGCTGTAATCAAATTGGAAGCGGCTCACGGAGAGTTAAAGCTTAGAACTTATTTTTATCGCTGTCAATCCTCCATCTTTGAATCCGTCTCTCAAACAGCTACGTTGTAACGTGTGAATCCTAATATCATCCAAAGAACACTGAAGTGCTGCTATATATGACGTTAACCTTCACCGTTGTGTAGTCACATTTATGACGGGGGTGCATACTTACAACAAACTATTGTGCTTAGCTATTATTATTATATCAATTCGTACGAGTTCAGTTATCGAAAATACGATCGGTTTAAAGTAAGTCGTATATGTATGAAACACTATAAATGATGAGCTATTTTTTAATCAACACAAATTGCGCAAACGTTGTCTTCTTCTACGGCTGGGTTTGTTTGGGCTGTTTATCCTAATCCTTCACATGCTATAGAACAGTTCTGCTGTAAAGAATCGGCTTAAGGCTATTAGGCGATAATTACAAACATAGAGGTTTTTTTCTCAGGAAGCAAAATCACTAAAGAATATTTGCACTCCCAAATAAGCCCTTATCCCCTGTCCCTATCTTACGACAGAAAACGGAATCAATTTTTTAACTCGGAAGTACCTAACCCATTATTGAATTTTGCCTCTGGAAAACTTCTTTTTGCCAAGTATGTACCCATGATGAGATACAACCGCAAAATGTGATTCTAAAACTTTTATGCATATCAGAAAATGTCACAAATTATAGTGCAGAGTAAATTCCCCTTCGAATTAGACGGGATACGATGTTCATCCTATCCCGTTCAACGTAGTCTTGATTTCGCTTTTTTCTTGTTTTTTTTTTTTAACAAAATATGTATACGAAGCTTCTTTAGTCCGTGATTAGTGGAATATTATTGTCAAACTTTTAATGCAACAATACCAAATTCGCGTAGTTATTGAAATATCAGCTCGGTCATAATAAGCAGTAATTTTCCATAGCTTTGTGAGTCCATTAGCATTGATCTTCGTCGCGCTGCTCTTTACATACAACAGCTCTATAGAGTCAGTATATTGCCAAAAACATATAAATACTATACAACTTTTTTTCTTACAAATAAAAAAAAGTTATGAATTAATAAAAGGATGAATACACGGGCGCTATATATGCATAAATACATGCATATCTGTTTGCTCTATCAACACAATTTCCACAAACGTATGTAGTATAAATGAAAAATAAATTCAGGTAAATTAAATTACTGTTTATGGGAAGTACCTATTGATTATGGATCGCAACAAGTTCCAAAGATAAGCTTTACAGCCATTATTATATATTTTCTTTCCTACAGATCTAACTAATTGTAGCGCTCTATTTAACGCGCATTGTTAAGTATTGCAAGTAAATTGCCAAACATGATACGTTCTTTGGCTGGTTATATTATTAGAATGGATTCCATAAATTCCGCAAGATTTTTGACTCGTATAGCCCAATTAAGTTATAAACCATAAACTCCAAACGCTGTTTTGAATCACGCTTAGTAACCATATAAACTTAAGGACCCTGATTCTCCGACGGTTGTATCCAGATAAATTGATAGCTTTATGCTTATATTTAACATTCCAAGCAGAACAATTATGTAGATTGTTATTATGTTGTGATTTTTTATAGCTAATTAAATCGATTTTTCATAATTTAATTGACACTTTGTTATCTTTCGTTTGACCCTTATTTACACTCTTCAGATAGACTATTACAATGAAAAAAGTTAACACTCTATTCATTAGTTGTAATCTAACTTCGAAAAATCAAAATCACAATGTCAATGTCTTGTTGACTACAGCCGTAAACATGTAACAAGATTTCCCAATTGATGATCGTACGCAGACTGAAATATCAACTGGACTAATCGTACACCCGGCTTCTAAATGAATTCTTTATTGTCGCAAACTTTACTTCAATCCAACTTTTTTTCACTTGTATAGTTCTACCTAGTTTGTTAATCCAGCCATGAAATCAACAACTGCTTTCCCTTCACGACTCAGAGCGAAATTAACTCTCTGTTCGAGCTACTATAAATTCCGTTTCCGAATTTAACCGTTCTCTCTGATTAGTTTCTATGCCAAACTAGCAGATTTGTCGACCATGTGTGCTATGGATTGACAGGTGGCGCAAGTTCGCTAGACTGCTCTGCGACTGTCTGCAGTCATGACCGATTAAATCATTTTGAACGTGACGGCAATACAATCGTGCCAAAAATCTACATCTGGGCTGGTTTTTACTTTACTTACATTCATTCATTATCTGTTATCCTCTATTAGCGAGACTGCTTCGCCCCTATCGTCTCTAACTACAACGCCAGAAATGTTTCCTTTGCAACATGTTACCGCTGCGGCAAATCCTGCAGGCGATCTCTAGTTTAGCCTAACAGTATACCCTCTGCACCTTCTACGTTGTTCAGCTCCTCCATCAGTAGGGTATGTACCTCTCTATGATGATACTCAGTTTTAGTGCGTCAAGCAATCTCTCTACTGTGGAGAGAAAATGAGATAACACCGGACATATATATATATATATAGAGGCGGCGAGGACGCGAGACTGAGCGCGCACTTCCCAGCGTTCGTATCCAAACAGACTTCAGAGCCACACGTTGTAAAGCGCTCTAATCAGGATTCGGCTAAGAAATTTGTTTCAGCTTCCCGTTCTCTTCCAGTTTTTTCACTCACAGTCTCTATTTACCTGTCTGTTGTTTTGTTCCCTTAGAATGGCATAGGCAAAGCGGTGACTTAACTTTTGCGCGTCAGTTGAGTTCTTTTCTGGAATGATCTGTAACACACATTTTGCCCGTTTATTAAATATTTTTCACAAATTCGTTATGCTTTTGTAGTGCTCGTCAACAACATGACCAAGGAGAAAATAAAAAAATTACTACTACGAAGAGTTTAATGAACGCGGTGAGCGCGGGCCGTGTTCTAGAGCTTGTCCACTGCCTTCATAGGAAGTCATTGTCCTTCAATCCGTCTCAATCAGTTGATGTGATCGCTCGATATAGGAAACGGTAGATAGTCTAGTATTTTCTTCGCAAAGCAGCCCTCTCTATCGCGTGCTAATGGTGCCTATCACTGTTACTTCAATGCCATCATGAAGCACGACCCGTGCTATTCTACCTTTATCTCTGTGCGGTTAGCTAACACTTCTCGTACGAAGTCCGATTACGAATTGAGCCGCCATCTGTCACATTTGAATTTGGCGCCACCCACCCTTTCCCGGCTGCCCTCGCAGCTCACCGATCGGCTGCGACTTAACCGCAGCAACTCCAGTGGTGGTGCGTGTTCGACGAGGACGAAAACGAAGTCTACGTCAAGCAAGACGAAATTCAATGCGTTTCATGCCTGCTGGTTGCCATCTATGCAAGTGAGGGCAACGCGATGGCCGATTCGAGAGGCAGCAACAACTGTGAGTAGACTGGTACCTCCATCAATTGTGTGAATCCTCCTGATTGAGCTGGAGTGGGATGCCTCGGTGAATGTGTGCGATGTGAATTGGTCCAGCGAGCGAGCAAGCCCGTCTCATCCTGCCTACTCAGGCCGACCTGAGCCGGGCCCAAAAAACCGATCGTTATTATCTTCTTATTCCGACACCTTACAACTGCTCCTACCTCATCGAAGTGGGTTGTGTGTGTATGTGATTTTCTGTGCTCTTACTATCAACGATGATAGTATCACTGCCGTTATTACGATAAAGTAATTATGGCCGTTTTTGCACACACGCGTATATATATGTGTATATGTACACAGTCCTATAACAATATAT